TTGTAATCTCCTATTTAAGGAGACACCATTATTGAATGAGGATATCGAATATTCAGTTAAAAAAGTGAGTTAGGAGAGTTGGTGATCTCTTGAACAAATCACCAAGGTGCCAAGATAGGTTCATCAAGAGCAGGAAGGAACAAGGGAAAACAGGAGGTTTTCCCCGTGGACCGACCCGTGACGAGATCCTATTCCTGGGCCCATAACAGCATCCACTATTCTGTCACTTCCAAGGTGTGGGAATACTTTCTTAATGCTGTTGGGATCAGTTGGGTAATGCCGAGCTCAGTCAAAGACTTACTGTGCTTCTGGAAAGTCCAAGGGCTGAAGAAAAAAGGAAACCTAGTCTGGAGGTCTGTTCCTGCAGCTGTTCTTGGGTCAATATGGACTGAAAGAAACAATAGAATCTTCTGTAACAAAGTGAAGAGTTCAGAGGACCTAATACATTGTGCTGTTAGTAAACTGATATCTTGGGTCTCTGTAAAACCTGAATTCAAAAACCTGTATGTGCCTGAGTTGTTAAGATTCCAATCCCTTTGGAGTCTGCAATCTCATCTGCTTTCTAGCCAATCTCGGTGTGGCTAGGGAGCTGTTGTACTATTTGCTTGCTGTTTCTAATAAAATTTTATCTTACATTTCAATAAAAAAGAAGAGGTCCATTGGAGGTGTAAATAAAGCTAAACCTTGTTGACAGGGAGCAAAAAATCAATACAAAAGTGACAAGGAACTAACAAAGGAAAATAGAAGAGAAAAGAAAAAGAGAAAAGAAAAAAGAGAAAAAGATAAGGATAAAGACTTAGTGGAATCAGTACACCTAGACATCGAAACATAACTCAGGATTTGAAGTAACCTCAACAAAAATGCAATAGCAGAAGCTTCTGTCCATTCCTCCTAAGGAATAACAATCTTACATGGAAAGGGTTCGCCAAGCTCTCTTCCCCACCTTTTCTGACTTTTAAACAACAAAGAAGGATAATTTATAACTAACCCAACACGGTCTCTAAATTCAGTCCAAGTCCCCTTACAAACTTCATTTTAAGGCGTACCTCCATTATTTGTCCATCTACTTACCCTCGTGATACAAGTAATCCATTTCCTGATTTTCTGATATTGAATGCCAATATCTGCAGAGTGGACCCGGGTTGAAGAGTGTTGTGAAGGGAGAATCGGATGCAAGTGGCGTAAAGGTAGGGTTTTGGAAGTCAAGGGATGATATGATATGTAGCATTAATGACCAGTGAGAATAATGTACTTATTTTACGATCATATGCTGGATGATGTAAAAAATCTAGCAACCTCTGCAAAGTGACAAGATTAATGAAAATCAACACCTTATAAATGATTCTGAAGAATCTTTCAAGCAGATAAATGGACGAACTGCTTCCTGGTGTAATAGTAAAATCTTCTACTTGGTGCCAAGTACAATAATAGGAGCTATGGACCCAATAATAGAAAAGTTCCATTGCAAGTTTGCAGGTTGGAAGAGGAACTACTAATTGGGGGGGGGAAGTAACACTTAACCAGAGTGCTCTCTCTAATCTTCTTCCCATATATTTCTTGTCTTTATCTACAGCACTAACCTCGGTTCTAAGTTCTTTGGAGAAAGACAGACCGCAGATGGGACTTCTAATGATGAGAATAAGTTTCATCTTGTAGCATGGCCTTAATTTTGTCTCCATAAGAAAGAAGATGGGATAGGCGTTAAACCTCTCTGCCTTATGAATAAAGCTTTTCTAGGAAAATGACTATGGAGGTACACCAATGAGATGGATGAAGCTTAAAGATGATTTCTCACGGTACCTTGGCTTAAAGATGATTTCTCTATGTTCATCACTCTTAAGCCTAGAAATGGAGAGTGAATTTCTTTCTGGTATGACACATGGTGTGGAGGAAGACCCCTTTGAAGGGATGAGAGATCCATCATATAGATAGCCAAACCATGCAGGAAGGTAGGGCGAAATTTCAAAAATTTCTCTCTCTCCCACCTGGGAATCACATTCCCTGTCTGCATTTTCAAAGATCAATCTTGAACCAAGAACCGAACCAAATCTGAAACCAAAAGTAGGAGAGGGATATACCTGGTACGAAGAAATAGTATCTCCGAATGAAGGTGTTCACGCCCAAAAAAAGTCTCCAAAGACTGCTCCCACTAAAGATGACACAGTGTAGGGTGGAGCAGAATTAGCAGTGTTCTTCCCAAGAACCGAATCCTTCAGTAAGAATTTGATGGAGGCTGTGAGCACGACTTCAGATCACCCTTTCTCCAAAGACTGATATCAATAACTGTTCTTGAACGCTCCTACAAAACTGGAGAACAAACTAGCAGCAGGCGGCAACTGGAGGAGAACGCAGGGAGAAGATGGCGCAGTCACACTGTTGCTGTCTTCTCTCTGGGTGATCTAAGATCTGATGTCTGGGGATGGGCTGATGGTTCGCCCCCTCCTCCTTTTATAGACTTAAAGAGATCAGGTCCTAATCTCATTAGGAGTTTCCTGATTCAAATCCTTATTTGAATCTAGACTCTCTTTAAGTGATAAGGATAAATCCTTATCTTATCTGCAGATTAAATCAACTCTCTCCTAATCTCATTAGGAGGTTTCCATATCCAAATTCAGATCTGGACTCTTTGAGTAGATAGGGATAACTCCCTATCCTATCTGTTGATCCAATCCCAGATCCGCCCCTCTCTTTAATTAGTCCAACTAAACCATTTCGAAATGGGCTTTAGGCCTAATAAGCCTTATGTGCTCAGTGGCCTTCCAAGCTGCTGCCCAATTGGGCTTCTTTGTATGGCATGGGACCCAAACATTGATCTACACATCAACCACATGGGTTTAGCCCAGCCTCTGTTACAAGGCCTGGCCAAATTCCTTGAAAAGATAGTGAACCCCCGAAGCCCATCACATGGGCTCCTAATGGGCCCAACACTTACACTAAGTGGTCCCTGGGCCAAGCCACCTTATAAAAACCCAAGGACTGTGGGCAGATGCAAGATTAGCCCATCATGTATTACCCAAAATGGTCTTACACTTAACCTCTCAGCCCATAATGATCAAACACTGCCCGACAAGAGAGGACCTCTCCCTCGG